GGTTTTTTTGGTTAAGTTCTGATTATCACAGAGTATTCTCAGCTTCTCTACTCTGCATCTTGACGGGCACACCAGTCTCTTAACCCCTAGCACCTGTACCGTGCCTGGCACATAATCAAGCCCTGGAAGTGAGTGAATGAGTCTAGCCTCCTCTCACCCTCACATACCCAGGGCCTAGCGAGGGCTGACCACAGAGGTGCTCAACACCAACTCCCAAACCAAAAACAGTGAAGACTGCGGGTAGCTTCCTTTGTTAAAAGACAGCAAACTGTTGGGTTTCAAAAATAACTTAAGTTGGAATTTCTTTTTATTCCCAAGAAAGAAGCCAGACATTGCCAAATCCATTTAGGTGGCTTGCCAAGAGGCTGCTAACCCCGCCCTAGCGTCCTGCAACCAGCCATAGATTTCATTTAGGGGACATGCGAATTGGGGATCCCTGATTCTGGGGGTTTGCTGGCCAAGGGCAGGGGCTCTTCTGAGAGGGGGCAAGGGCTCTTCAGGGTCCAGTAGAGGAGGCTGGATTCCCAAGGCCTGGCCTGCACTCCAGCTGGCCCTCAGTGCCTGGGACCTGCCCATGGTCTGTCAGCCCCCATCACACCGCCTGCTTGTAGGGACTCATTTTAATTAATGCCAGAGCTGGGCCAACCACTGGGGCCATGACACTTGTTTGCAGGTCATCTCTTCCTAACAGGCTCGCCCTGGGAGGGGATTTGTCGCTAATTGAAGCAGAGATCAGTTAATGAGGCTGTGGGGCCTGGGGTTCCAGAGAACAAGGTAAAGGAAAATAAAATAAAGCCTCTTTCTTCGGAGGTTTTGTGATTTACACACAAAAGAAAAGCAAGCGAGCTGCAGCTTTTCCAAGTCAGAAACCCTGCTCCATCTGCCGGAGCTGGACCCTCACTGTGTGAAGACGTTAGGCGGAGGGATGCCGCCACCACCACGGAGACTCATGGATCCGGAGGAGCAGGGCCTTCCGAGGCCAGCGATCAATCAGTCACCTAATTAGTAAGTATTTATGGAGCAGTGCTCTGTGCTCCCCTCTGTGGGGAAGAAGACACAGTCCCTGTCCTTGGTTAACTTGTAATCCAGCTGGGGACAAGCTCAGGCCAGGGAACAATGAGAGAACAGAGACCTGGGCGTAATTGAGTGAGTGTGTGGGAAAGACAGAAGTTTCTAGGACTTCAGTGGTGGGGGATGGGGAAGAGCAGTATGAGTTGGAGTGGTCACGGAAAGCCTCCTCTGGGGGCTCTAGAGCTAGACAGGGGGAGGAGGAAGGCGTCCCCAGCACAGGCACAGCGCCCAGAGGCTATGACAGCCCAGCATAAGGCCTCCAGCCACTGCTGGGTGTGACCTGGCTCTAGGAGCCCTGGGGGCCCCAAATCCCCAGTACCTCTGCTAGGCCTGGGCCTCAACGCCCTCACTCCCAAATCTGGGCTAGGTCTGGCCCTGGGAAGTGCTTGAGATGCAATGGCTGACGGCTCCTTGGATGTAAGAGTGAGGAGCAGTGATGCGGGACCAGCCCTGGGAAGAAGCCTCTCGCTCCCAGAGCTGCAGGCCTACAGGGAAAGAAGTCCCACCAGGATAACGATCCTCTTTACTTCAGCCCTTCCTGCTCAGTTGCTCAATATTCTCCCCACGTGGTCTCTCCCCAGCTTCTCCCTACCTCACTCTTAAGTCTCAAGGAAGGAAAATGGGATCTTCAAGCTGCTAACTAGGCAGAGCTCTCAACTCCTCTTGTCATAAGGAGCAAGGAAGAGGCAAACGAGTCCTTGCCCCCTTCCAGAAAAGCCCCGGCCTTGGCTCAGCAATCCCCCACAATCAGGGATCCCCAATTTGCATGTCCCCTAAATGAAATCTAGGGCTGCTTGCAGGACCACGAGGATGGGGCTAGTAGCCTCTTGACAAGCCATCTAAATAGACTTGGCAATGTCTGACTTTTTGCTTGGGGTGAGACCTAAGGATTTAAGAAAGGAGAGAGATCTTGGGCATGAGATAAGGAAACTCCTGTAACAGCTGTTTGGAGCTGACTTGATCTACATGGGAGTAAAATAAATGAGGCCATTTCTGAACAACCCCCAAGTTCCTGCTATAGAAGAACAGTGAAATGAATTATGGTGTATGGTACAATGGTTACATTGTTGTGAACCATTATTATGCTTACTTAATGACATGGTGGTGTGTGATGGATAGCTTTTATATGGCCTTTCTTGCTATGGTCTTGTAACTCCCACCCAAGTGGCTGGGTGGGACTATACAGATAAGGTAATTGTGGCCCACCAAGGGGATTGGATAACTTGCTAATAATTCAAATAAAGTTCATGGCACCCATGTGGGGGTGGGACCCTGCAAATAAGGTCTATGGAACCCTAACAAAGGGATTGGTTAGTTTTGCCATCCTGTTAGGCTTAAAATCAGCCATCCCAGAGCCAGGAGTATAGTGTGTCTTTTGGACCTGGGATTCTTGTGCAGAGAAGCTCCTGGAACCAGGAGACCAAGAGAGAGAGTGACAGAAAAACAGCAGCAGGAGACGGCCCAGCCTGTGGAGCAAGAAAGCTGAGTGCCTTTGGTGAGGAGGCTTGCTGGTGGAGTAAGGTGCCTCCAGGCACTTGGTGGAGTGAGCTGAGCGCCTTTGGGCTGAAGCTTGCTAGTGGAGTGAGATGGCTCGGGGCACTTATCCTCCGAGCTAAGAGAGCTTTGGAACACTTGCGGGAGCAGGGCAGAGGCCAGGCCCAGGGGCTGAGGGCCGGAGAGGTGGGGGGGGGGGTGTGCCTGCATGCACAGCTGAGAAGAGTCTGTCCTGACGGAAGAACTGTATCCTGAGCGTTCCTGAACCTGAATTGTAACCTGTTAGTTCCCTAATAAACCCCATAATCGTGAGTATTGTCTGTGAGTTCTGTGTGGCCAATGCAATGAATTATCAAACTTAGCAGAGAAGTAGAGAGTCTGGTGGGAGGGATGGTTGGTGTCAGAATTGGTAAAGATGGCAGAGGGAGGAGGCATGTCTGACCTCTGCCTCATAGGAATCAGCCTTGGCCTGTTGATCTTGATTCTCTTCCCTCCTTGTGAAGTTAGAGGAGGTGAGACACCTCCACCATGCCATTTTTACACATAGGAAAGATGAGAAAATAGGTTTTACCCAAAGACTATTACAAGTGGATTCTTTACAATGTTGTGCTGTTGTCGCTGGGTGCCATCAAGTAGATTCTGACTCATACCGACCTCATGGGACAGAGAACTGCCCCATAGGGTTTTCTTTTTATTAATTAATTTATTGTGATTTAGGTGAAGGTTTACAAAGCAAATTAGTTTCCCATTCAATAATTTATACACAAATTGTTCCATGACATTGGTTGCAATTCCTGTAATGCGTTAGCACTCTCCCGGCTACCACCCTGAGTTGCCCATTTCCATTCATCGTACCTCTCGGTGTCTTCCCTTGTCTTGGTCATGTTGTGCTGACTTCCCTCATATTGTGTATTGCCTTTCCTTCACCAAGGTTAACACATGTCTACTATCTACTTAGCGATTTCCCCTCCCTTTCCCTTCCCTCCCTGGTAGCCATCAGAGAATATTTTTTTCTATGTGTAAACCTTTCCTTGACTTTTTGTAATAGTGGTCTCATACAATATTTGTCCTTTTGTGATTGACTTATTTCACTGAGCATAACGTCCTCCAGATTTATCCATGTTGTGAGATGTTTTGCAGATTCATCATTATTCTTTACTGTTAGTATTCCATCGTGTATATGTACCATGGTTTGTTTATCCATTCATCAGGTGATGGGCATTTATGTTGTTTCCATCATTTTGCTATTGTGAATAATGCTGCAGTGAACATAGGTGTGCATATGTCTATTCGTGTTACAGCTCTTATTTCTCTAGGATATATACCTGGGAGTGGGACTGCTGGATCATAAGGTATTTCTATTTCTAGCTTTTTAAGGAAGCTCCATACTCTTTTCCATAGTGGTTGTACCATTTTACATTCCTACCAGCAGTGTGTAAGAGTTCCAATCTCCCTATGACCTGGCCAGCATTTGCTGTTTTCTCCCAGAGGATTTTCTTGGCTATATCTTTACGGAAGCAGATCGCCAGGTCTTTCTCCTGCAGAGCCACTGGTGGATTCAAACCACTGACCTTTCGGTTAGCAGTTGAGTGCTTAACCATTGTGCCATGGGGGCTCCTTTTCATTACAATACATGAATATTTTTAATCTATATTTTCTAATTATTTTTTCTTACCAATAACGTTTATTTATGTAGATGCAGGGGTGGGTTCAAGGGTGGATAAAGTGTGGACAAGGTCCTGGGAATGTGGGCTGTGCTCTGGCTTTGGCCCAGGCCCCTCGCTGTGTCACCTGCCCTTTGTCCTCATCTGAGAACAGGGAGCCACCATCCATCCTTACACTCACAATCAGACTGCAAACCTCCCCTACTGAGAAGCTGCTCTATTTTCAAAGTCCTGTGAGAAACTCAAAATGAGGCTTTCATCTTTGTCTTAGGGGCTGAAATCCCTCCAGGAGGGATTGGGCTTGCGACTACATGCCAGCAATCAAGGCCACAGAGAGAAACAATGGTGCCCTAGGAATTCAGGCAAAGAGCAAAGGGGAGGTGGCGTTTGGGGCACCAGTGAAGGATCATCCACGTGCCCCTCCCCTATGGCACAGCTGCCTTCCTGAGCATGAAGACCAGCTCCTCTGAGAAGCATGCTGGGGAAACATAGGTACCTCGAAGGACAGACATCCCGCCCTTGCTGCCGTGGGTAGCACTTCTATCACCCACAGAGGGCACCCCACCTCCCTGCCTGCTCTCCAAAACCTGGAGCGCCAGTTTGCTTACCTCTCTTCTCTGCCTAGAAAGTCTGCCCTGACAGCCCACCCACCAATGTGTCCCTCACACCCCTTGTCCTGGCCATGACCCTCAGACAAGGGTCTGGTCTTCGATGCTGGGTGGGGCAGCCACAGAGCAGCAGAACTAAGAGGAAGGTGGGGGAGCTACTCACTGCAATTGAGACAGCACTGATGACGGCTCCCAGGTAGCCCTGGATGAACTTGGATGTGGGTGAAGGCTGGAAGACAGAGGTAGAATTTCAGGCCCACTGGGTGCCCGAACTTCCCACACACCACCCTTGCAAACAGCCCCTGGCCAGCAAGAAGCATTCCTTCCCACCAGCCCGGAAGGTCAAGTGAGAAGGAAGAGGTCGTCTGGAAGCCACAGGTACCCAGGCCTCCCTCAGCTCAGTTCCACATGTGGAGACACAAGGCAGCAGTGTCCAGGGAAATGCCAAAAGGGCCCACTTCATTTCTTCCCTGCTCTTGAAGGAAGTCCTTGGGTGGTACAAACAGCGTAACACGCTTGGCTGCTAACCGAAAGACTGGAGGTTCAAGTCCACCCAGAGGCACCTCAGAAGAAAGGCTTGGTGATCTACTTCCAAAAAATCAGCCACTGAAAACCCCACGGAGCACAGCTCTATTCTGACACACATGAGTTCACCATGAGTCAGGGTTGACTGGATAGCAACTGGTTCTAGAACGGTGATGGGCGGATACTGCTGGCTGGAGGTGAAAACAACAAGAGCCAAAATAGATCATTTACAGCCAGGGCCAGCAGTCTCCAGTTTAGGGAGGCAAATGTTGTACATGGGGCGCCTTCTAGGTAGAAATGGTGGTATCAACGCTGGTAACAGTCTGGCTGGCTCTCACAGCTCTGGTCTGTCATGCAGCAACTGGGCTTTCACGTTAATAGATGATTGTTGTTGTTGTTATTAGGTGCCATCCAGTCAGTTTCAACTTACAGTGACCCTATGTACAACAGAACGAAACACTGCCCAGAACTACACTATCCTCACAATCGTTGCTATCCTTGAGCCCATTGTTGCAGCCACTGTGTCAATATATCTCCCTGAGTGTCTTCCTCTTTTTTGATGACCTTCTACCAAGCATGATGTCCTTCTCTAGGGACTGGTCCCTCCTGATAACATGTCCAAAGTACATGAGATGAAGCCTCCCCATTCTCGCTTCTAAGGAGCATTCTGACTGTACTTCCAAGACAGATTTGTGCATTCTTCTGGCAGTCCATGGTATATTCAATATTCTTAGCCAATACTATAATTTAAATGCATCAATTCTTCTTTGGTCTTCCTTATTCATTGTTCAGCTTTCACATGCATATGAGGTGATTGAAAATACCATGGCATGGGTCAGGCGCACCTCAGTCCTCAAAGTGACATCTTTGCTTTTCAACACTTCAAAGAGGTCTTTTGCAGCAGATCTGCCCAATGCAATACATTGTTTGATTTCTTGACTGCTGCTTCCATGGGCGCTGATTGTGGATTCAAGTAAAATGAAATCCTTGACAACTTTGAATCTTTTCTCCATTTATCATGATGTTGCTTATTGGTCCAGTTGTGAGGATTTTTGTTTTCTTTATGTTGAGGTGTAATCCATACTAAAGCCTGTAGACTATGATCTCGTCAGTAAATGCTTCAAGTCCTCTTCCCTTTCAGCAAGCAAGGTTGTGACATCTGTGTATCACAGGTGGTCAGTGAGCCTTCCTCCAATCCTGATGCCACATTCTTCTTCATACAGTCCAGCTTTTCGGAATATTTGCTCAGCATGCAGATTGAATGAGTGTGGTGAAAGGATGCAACCCTGACACACACCTTTTCTGATTTTAAGCCATGCAGTATCCCCTTGTTCTGTTCAAATGACTGTGTCTTGGTCTATGTACAGGTTCCACAGGCACACAATAAAGTGTTCTGGAATTCCCATTCTTCGCAATGCTATCCATAATTTGTTGTAATCCACACAGTTGAATGCCTTTGCATAGTTGATAAAACACAGGTAAACATCTTTCTGGTATTCTCTGCTTTCAGCCAACATCTATCTGACATCAGCAATGATATCCTTCATTCCACGTCCTCTTCTGAATCTGGCTTAAATTTCTGGCAGTTCCCTGTCGATGTACTACTGCAACCACTTTTGAATGATCTTCAGCAAAATTTTACTTGTGTGTGATATTAATGATATTGTTCAATAATTTCCACCTTCTGTTGGATCACCTTTCTTTGGAATGGCCACAAATATGGATCTCTTCCAGTCAGTTGGTGAGGTAGCTGTCTTCCAAATTTCTTGGCATAGACAAGTGAACGCCTCCAGTGCTCCAACAATTTGTTGAAACATCTCAATTGGTATTCCGTCAATTCCTGGAGACTTGTTTTTTGCCAATGACTTTAGTGAAGCTTGGACTTCCTCCTTCAATACCATTGGTTCTTTATCATATGCTACCTCCTGAAATGGTTGAATGTCGACCAATTCTTTTTGGTACAGTGACTGTGTATTCTTTCCATCTTCTTTTGATGTTCCTGTGTCGTTCAATATTTTGCCCATAGAATCCTTCAATATTGCAACTCAAGGCTTGGATTTTTTCTTCAGTTCTTTCAGCTTGAGAAATGCTAAGTGTGTTCTTCCCTTTTGGTTTTCTAACTCCAGGTCTTTGCACATTTCATTATAATACTTTACTTTGTCTTCTTCAGCCGACCTTTGAAATCTTCTGTTCAGCTCTTTTACTTCATCATTTCTTCCATTTGCTTTAGCTACTCGACGTTCAAGAGCAAGTTTCAGAGTGTCTTCTGACATCCATTTTGGTCTTTTCTTTCTCTCCTGTCCTTTTAATGAACTTTTGCTTTTATGTATGATGTCTTTGATGTCATCCTACAACTCGTCTGGTCTTCAGTCATTAGTGTTCAATGCATCAAATCTATTTTTGAGATGGTCTCTAAATTCAGGTGGGATATACTCAAGGTAGTACTTTGGTTCTTGGGGATTTGTTTTAATTTTCTTCAGCTTCAGGTTGAACTTGCATATCAGTAATTGATGGTGTGTTCTGCAGTCGGCCCCTGGCTTTGTTCTGAGCGATGATATTGAGCTTCTCCATCATCTCCTTCCACAGATGTGGTCGATTTGATTCCTGTGTATTCCATCTGTTGAGGTCCACATGTATAGTCACCTTTTTTGTTGTTGAAAGAAGGTATTTTGAATGAATAGATCGTTGGTCTTGCAAAATTCTATCATGCCATCTCCGGTGTCATTTCTATCACCAAGGCAATATTTTCCAACTACTGATCCTTCTTCTGTGTTTCCAATTTTTGCATTCCAATCACCAGTAATTATCAATGCATCTTGATTGCATGTTTGATCAATTTTAGACTGTAGATGTTGCTAAAAATCATCAATTTCTTCATCTTTGGCATTAATGATTGGTGGATAAATTTGAACAATAGTCATAATACATGATACCAAAAACCAAACCTGTTGCCATCGAGTCGATTCGGACTCACAGTGACCCTATAGGACAGAGTAGAACTGCCACATAGGGTTTCCAAGGAGTGGCTAGTGGATTTGAACTGACAATCTTTTGGTTAGCAGCTGTAGCTCTTAACCACTGGACCACCAGGGCTCCATTTGATGATAGTCTCCCAATATTTCTATGGGAAAATATATCCCATGTTCCAACGTAGAAAATTAAGAAAAAGCTGCGTAACTTCTCCTTAACAGTGCTACACTAGAGCAATTTTTGGTTTAAGACAAATGCGAGCTATCAAAGCAGAGATGTACGTGTGCAAAGCACATGGGGAGACTTTCGTTGGAGGGTTAAAATGGGGGAGGTGGGTATCCTCAGAAGATCAAGCCCTTAAAGTTCTTATGACCCAGGCCCAGCTCCTAATGCCCTACTTCTCCCCCAAGGTTAGAAAATGACAAGACTCTCATCTACACCAAACTGACAGCCCCCAAAGAGGACATAGACTCCTCTTCCCCTCCCTTTGCCTTTGTGCTTGGTGCTGAAGTGGTGGAGAACTAACCATGGGGAGAGGCGGGCTTGCCAGTCTTTTCTGGGATAATGGGACGAGCACCAGGCCTCTGCCATGAGCTCATCCCAGCAGGGCAAGGGACCTCTCGGACCCCTTTTCTCTCAGGAGCAGCCCCTGAGTTGTTTGGCCAGCAGTCTGAGAGCTGGGAACATTGAGTAAGCTTCCAGGCAAGCTTGGAGGAAGCATTAGGGAAATTCTGTCCCCAGGTGGCTGACATCCCTATGATCCTATGTTGTTATTATTGTTAGTTGCCTTCCTGTTGTTTCTGACTCATGGTGACCTTATATACAACAGAAGGAAATGCTGCCCAGTCCTGCACCATCTCTGTGATCATTGGTATATCTGAGTCCATCGTTACAGCTACGGTGTCAATTCATCTCATGGAGGGGTTTCCCTGTTTTCACTGACCCTCTACTTTACCAACTATAATGTCCAATCTAGGAATAAGAGCAGCCGAAGAAAATTTCTGAAGCCAGCAGAGTTTATCCCTTGTACCACCTCCACCACACTCACATTTTATGGGCCTTCTTTACTTCAAGTAAACAGCCCCTCCCCGTGGGCCCCCTACCTGGAGACTCCTGCTGACCTCAATGAAGTAATAGTCTGAATCTGCTACCCCTCCTGAAGGTCTGGCATTTTAATAAGGTGTCTAGAGGGGGGCAATGCTTAACCCAGAGGAGGCAGCCACTGATGGCGGCATGTCACTGTAGGGAGGAGAGCTGGGCCACCCCAGCCTGAATCCCACCACTGGGTGGTAGTCAGTAGTGCTCACCTTGGTAGCATTGCGGTTTGCATAGTTGACACAAGCATTGTGGCTCTGGTTCAGCCACTGAAAGGCAAGAAGGGAGAGGAGAAGTCAGAGAAGGTGTGGTCACCTCCCCGGGGAGCCTGGCCTGGGACCAGGAGACCACCCCCCACCCCTCCAGAAAGACACGGGACACTGTCTCCAGCTCACGACTGGCTCCGTCTATCCCATTAGTTGGTGTGACCAACCATCCCAGTTTGCCTGGGGCTGTCTAGTTTTAGCATTGAAAGTCTGGATTCCCCCCATCCCCACCCCCTGCCCCAGTCCCTGGCAAACCAGGAGGGCTGGTCCAGTCACCCCCATCCAGAGACAATCACCTCTCCTGAATTATGGTGTCACTGCCCAAACAGGGCCCACTGCTTTGCATGGTCATCCTTTATTGTCTATCACCTGCTTGGGTCTGCTGGGTAGAGGTGGACATATAGGCCCCTGCAATGATGAACAACCCTGAACCTCTTTAAACAATAACCCCAGCCCAATGTCCTGCATCACCTCCAGTGCCCAAACATGGACGCTGTTAGGAGTTTGATTCAGGGAAGACTCTCCTGCATTTTCTACAGAAGACAGACACGGTTTTCTTCCAGACCCTCCTTCTCTGCCCAAACATATACACAGAGACGTTCTCAGTTATTTTCAGGGACCACAACCCCAACTGTCTCAAAGAGGAGACACAGGGTCTGTGATGAGTGTTCACCCTTCACTTCGCTACAGACTGGGGGAGACTGATGTTAAAATGGGGCTGTAGGCCTCGGGCTCACCAGCCGTGGGACAAGCAGCTGGTGGGCAGAGTGGGATAGCCACCAACAACCCATCATGGTCCAGGTGAGGGCACCAGCCCAGCCTTCACTGCCTCTGTCCAAAGGTTAGAGTGACACCTAATGGACCAAAATGTGCTGGGCTGCACGGGGCCTGCTCAACCAGGCCCAAGGATTTCAATTTTCTCCCAGTGGCTTCTGGGCCAGGGGAAGGGTGGGGAGTGGGCTGACTCTACCCCAAGTGGCCTGGGCAAGGCAGGAGCCACTAGGCCAGGGAGTTCATAAGAACCATTTGTTTGGCCCTTCCTCCAGGAGTCCTGCTTGCTGTGGGGCTGTTACCTGCCAGAAGACAGTGGAGGCCAGTGTCTGGTTGGGCAAGAGAAGACCAACTACCTATGAAAGAGAGAGAGAAAAGGCTGAAGAAGCAAAAAAAAAAATCCTGCATTTTGAAAAGAAAATTTATAAAGCCATGAACAAGAGCAAGGTGGACCTGTACAGACTGATGTGGGACAATGCCCACAGCGAGATGGTGCACAGTATAAAAAAAAAAAAAAACAAGCTGCAGAAGAGTATGTGCAATAAATCCCATTTCTGTAAAGGAAAACATTTTATATATAACCTTCCCTACGTGGTGCAAACAGTTAACACACTTGGCTGTTAACCAAAAGGTTGGAAGTTCAAGTCTACCCAGAGGCACCTCAGAAGAAACCTGGTGATCTAGTTCTGAAAAATCCGCCATTGAAAACTCAATGGAGCACAGTTCTACTCTGACACTCATGGGGCCACCAAGAGTCAGAATCGACTCGACAGCAACTGATCTGGTTGGTCTATGTACAACCATGTAAACACACACACACATACACACACACACACACACATATCTCCAAGCATGAAATAACCTGTAGCCCAGCTTCCCAACTGTTAGCTGTGGATGTCTCTGGAGGTCAGATTACAGGGTATTTTCTCACATTCTACTTAAATACTTCTGCATTCTTTTAAACAATGGACATGTATTGTTCCCATAACCACGGAGGAAAAACAATGAAAACAAACAAGCAAACAAAAGGAACACCTTCACTTCCACTCAGGTAACTGGCTCCTTCATGCCCTAGCCATCTAATAGGATTTTTGTGAGGATTTAATAAAAATTATTTCAAAGGCTTTAAGTGTTTTTCAAATACTAGCTGGGGGAATTTTTATCTGTTATCTCTGAGCCTCCATAAAGCAAAAACTCACACCATGATGAAGCTACTGAATGAAACATAATGTCTAATAAATATTTGTTAATGAATGAATGCATGAATGAATGAATACTCACACCCATAAAACTAAGTATGGTCACAATGTGTGGATTCATTATTCCCCAAACCCAACTATCACCTAAGACCTAGACTCACTGACTTAAGTTTTTTGGTTTAAGTCAAGATTAACAGTATGATCATGACACTGGCTAAATCTTGGACTTCAGGGATCCATGTGCATCTCTCAATTTTACCTTTTGAGTATTTGCCTGCAAAATAACATCTACCAAGTACTGCTACATATGGAAAAAATGTGCACAACCATCCACACATTGACTTATTATTCCTGTAGATAAAATGCTCTTTGGCAAGAATTTCTGCAAGGAGCAAGGATAAACATTCAGTACTATGCAGTAAATCAAATTCTAGACATCCTCAGCAGCATTAGTAAATCATGTTTTAAACATTAAAATGTTTTAAAACAGCAAATATGCACACATTTATGTTTATTGGTCCTTATCAGTTTGAATAAAATTATGTAATGTAAAGTCCCTCTATAACTCTAATGAAAAGTTATCTTAGGGGACTTTTCTCCCAAGATAAGGTCCGAAGTCGATTTCCCTTTGCAATGTCAACTTAGGAGTACTGGAGTCAGAGTCAGGAGACCTTGGGTCCTAGCATCCCTGTATGAGCTCTGGCAGAAGACAGACCCCTTTGGGGCTCTAGCTATCTTATTTATAAAGTGAAAGGTTGACCTTAGAGGTCCTACCTAGGCATAGAATTCTATTTTCAGGTATGAAGTCAACAGAGATACCTCCATTGTCTGTAATGGGATCATCCAGGCTGAGTAGGCTCCCAGGTCCCAGGACCTCCTCCTACTTGGCCTTCCAGTCAGGAGCCAAACCAGAGAGATGAAGCTGAGCCTAGAGAAGCCTGAAGCTGGAAACAGAAAGTGAGCCGGGAGGGAGGAGTAAGTGTATGTATGCACGTTTGTGTACACACATGCATGGTTAATGGCTTCCCAAAACTTGAGGACATGAAAGCTGTTCTCCATTGTTTGGGACTCTGCATATAATCCTCCCCTAAACTGTCCACTTATATGACATGGGTGTGACATAAACTACAGTCTCCCTCAGTCCCCACTGACCCCTTGAACTGTACTAGGGCCACAGGAATATCAACATCCCATGGACTCACTGTATTTACCAGACAACTGTTGTCCAGGACATTGCTAATGACATCACAGGGTCCCCTTTATGAATCCTCTTGGTAGAAATTGTTTTATGGTCTCAAGGTCAGAAACTGTACTTCTGAGCAACTGTTTTGCATCTGTCTTGCAGACACTGAGCTATTTAACTGTGTCTCTCTTTGCATGGGCTGCTAGGAAGCTCAGGCCATATCTCCATGGCCCATGTCTGCCAAGGATACAGAATTCACTGCATGTATCATGTACCTGAACCTCCCTCCCCACTCCAACTTATTTTCCTTTTCCTAACCTTCCTTTGGTCTCATTTTCATCCTCACTTGTTTTATCTTGTGGCATGCATTCTTGTAAATCGTATCAAGTCTTTTCCAGAACAAGCCAGAGCCCTAAATAAACTGAATAAGTACCCAGGCTAGGTACTACACACACACACACATACACACCTATATGGCTGTCACCAGTGAGCTGTTCACTTTGCTAGACAATCCCAGCCAGCCACCTGCCCTAACACAGGCCTGGCATCCTTGCCAGCACCTCTGACTGTTATAATAAATCTCCTCATGCTTAGAGATATTGACTGATTTTGTCAAGCATTTCCCCATATGTCACATACCATAACCCTCATAATAACTCTGGGGATCAGACAAAACAGAGATTACCATCCATATCTTACAAATTGGAGAACTAAAGCTTAGAGAAGGTTAGTGGTGTGCCCAAGGCTTCAGAGCACGCTAGAGTTAGGGCTCCTGATTTCTGGTTTGAAAGCCCTGACTCTCTTAATTTTAGGGTGCTCCTTCTCCAGCTCTTCCCCCTAGCACAGAGGAGGAGGGAATTCAACACTCCATGCCCATTTGTCGAGCATCTTCTGTGTACCGTGTACCAACTCTGCGCTGCTCCCAGTCAAGATACCAGAGGAGAGGAATATATGGCCCCTCACCACAACAAATACAAAGAATAACAGAAAAATGTATGAGAACAGCCTTTATGACAGGAAAATGACAGGATAATTTAATTAGGTACCTGAGTGTGTATAAAACGCCATTGCCATCGGGTCGATTCCAACTCATAGTGAGGACAGAGTAGAACTGCCCCACAGAGTTTTCAAGGCTGTAATCTTTACAGAAGCAGATTGCTACTTCATTCTGCTGCGGAGTGGCTGGTGAGTTTGAACTTTGGGTTAGCAGCCAAGTGCTTAATCACTGTGCCACCAGTGCTCCTCTTGCCTGTGTGTAAAGTTAATAAATTCAAACATTCGAGCAGGAGTTCACAAAGGGAGAGGTCAGTGTTGACCTGGCTATTTGCCGAAGGAGGTAGGATTGAGCAGGGGTGTGTGTTTGTGTGTGTGTGTACACGGGAGCAGCGACAGCCAAGAGACTGTCCTGAGGGGTGTGTGCGTGTGTGTGACTGCATGTGTGTGTGTACATGGGAGCAGGGACAGCC